ACGCACACCGGACTCTAGATCTTTCGTAAAAATGTTCTCTTGAATTCGCCCAAGCTTTCTAAAAAAGTCCGCGTCGTTGTGATTCCAATTCAGAATCAGATTGCAAAAATTTGGATGGAGCTAAAAGTTGTAAGTGTTGCGTGGACCCCAAATTTAGACATGCCGTCGTAGAGGCATTAAAATCAAAGAAAAGGGGGTGTGTTTTGATTTACGTATCTAAAATCTTTTCAAGATTTTCTCGATGATGATCTGGTCATTGGCGGATTTGCTAGGCCTGATGGTACGCTGGTAAGGTCCAATCAGATGATTCACAAAAGGCCTCTGTTTTTCTCGCACTGTGTTGACCATAGGATCTCATATTAAATACGTATATATAAGATGACTTATCTTGCTGTAAGGAAGGCACATATTCATTAGGTCATATTACACTTAACTGCCAGTGCATGCACCACCGACTTTATACAGTTCAGCCGATATGCCGTCGGTTCCAAGGGCTTTGGCTTAAAAACACCACATTTTTAATGTTCCCACCTCGTCATGGTTCGTTCTATCACTCAGCTAACTATCTTTCGCATAGCTAAAGATTTCAGGCAGCTGTGTATGTAGAGGAGCGACTCGGTACTCTTCGTACTACCAGCAGTTTCTGCGTGGGAGGTAATAGCCGGTCACGACTTTGTCAGCGGTATGGAGAGCTTGGAAGATGGTATCTTACTATTCATTTATATCCAGGCTTTCAACCGGTTGTGAAAGTTCTCGGCTGTCCATTGCAAAAGCAGTTCGCTGAAGTATGGACTTCTATTATGATCTTAGTGGGCCGAAAAGTTTACGTATTGACAACTTTTAATTTCCCACAAATTTTTAATCTGGTTGGTATTACCTAGTTGATTCTTCGGAAAGTCGGAACAGAGGAGAGAGTCCCTAACCCTTCTTCTTCTTATTTGGCACTGTAACCGCCTAAGCGATTTTGGCCGAGTTCAACGAAGCACTCCAGTCGTTCCTTTTCTGTGCCAACTGACGCCTATTGGAAATGCCAAGTGAAGCCAAGTTCTTTTCTACCTGGTGTTTCCATCGCAGAGTTCCTAACCCAGTATGTCCAAAATACCTTCGGTTGCCTTAATGAATCATAAAAGAGCCCCGATAGGCAAATTCCTCATGACGAAGCGTTAAATTATTGTTGGAGATTTAAAATAGATTAATCCTGGCCTGGCCAAGGCCGGAAAGTCAGAGATAATATGTTCTAAAAAGTTATCGTCTTGTATGGTGTCAGTTGTGACCATTTAGGTACAAATTGTTGTCATTTCGTTTTAATACAATAATATCGTATCTGTTGAAAGGGTAACCGAAAAGCTTGGCCTGTCTATGATCTCTCATCGCTCTCCAGTACTTATCAACTGAGACCGCAGAATGGTTCTGGTAGTATAAAGACCGTTAACCAGCAAACTCATTGCCTAAGCAGATTGGATTTCATCTTCCGGTTTGAAAGCGATAACTAGAAAAGCGCGCTTTAAACACTTTTCGAGTTTTATACGTTTGGTATCAGCTCCATAAAGACTTGAACCTGCCCTGTCCTCTATCCTTGAATCATCTGTGTACCAATGTACTTATCTAAGATCAAAAGTAGGATGCTCATTTGCCCAATCATCGCGATCTGAACTTTAACTAGGAACTTTCAGCCAAAGCAAAAGTCGGTGCCATAATTTTAAGCCGTTCAAGTCAGCTGCTCTTACATCTACGTACCTGCGCACTATGTTTTATTTACTTTAGAAATGTTATGCGCCAATTTGAAGGAGTATTTTTTTTTTTTAATTTTACCTCGATTTATAATTGAGTTAAATTATCTCCACTCTCTTTTCACTACAGGAGCCGTGGAGAATTGCCAATTGAGAATTCCGATCGCTTTCGAATAACACAGACCAGCACCGCTGTGCAACTAGCCGTAGAACACGTGCAGCGGGAGGACGCTGGTCATTATACGCTGATAGCTAGAACGAAAGGTAACAATGTTATTCGCAAGGATGTCGAACTCATTGTCGACGACAGATCGACGGGTGAGGACCCGCCTATATTTCTACGACGATTGGTCGATCTATCGGTGAAGGTGGGAACGCGTACTCGATTGTTAGTCGAAATACGAAGTTCCACGGAATTAAAGGTATGAACCAGCAGTATTTTACTTTGCCGAATAGATATGTATGTATGCATTTGTCACAGCTCACTTGGTACCGAAATGATCGCCGAATATGTGAAACCGATCGAATTAAAGAGATAAATGAAGGCACATTTCACTATTTGGAAGTGAGCCCAGTTATATTGGAAGACGGTGGCCAATGGATGGTGCTCGCGGAGAATACAGGTGGACGTAATTCATGCATTGCACATTTGAACGTTTTAGTGCCCAAGGCTTACAAGACACCAGAGTTCATTGAAGAATTACGTGCCGTACTTACGCAACAAGGCACCGTTTCACTAGAATGTAAAGTTGTTGGTGTACCCACACCACAGCTACGTTGGTTCAAGGATTCCAAAGAGATCAAGGCTGGTGATGTATTCGCACTGACCGCCAATGTGGACGACCCCACCTCGTTGGGTACATACACCTGTGAGGCCGTCAACTGTATGGGCAAATCATATTCCAGTTCCAAGGTGCATGTAATGGGGCGTGGTAGTAGAGAGGGTTCATTGAAACCAGCTGATAGGTAAGTTAAGAGAATTCTTTGTAAGAGTAGAGTTGCATTCTCTCTAAAATGCCGGCATAATAACATTTCTCTTCTTCGCTCGGGCGCTCATCGTCTCTTATGCTCTAACATGATTTGGTAAATGGACTTCTTGCCTCAAAGCATCCCCAACAATGCACCCCCACCGATCTTTACGAACGAGCTGCGCGACCTGAGTGTCCGCATTGGCGAACCAATTATACTCGGCTGCCAAGGTAAGTGTGTTTTTGGTGGTAGTGGTCGTGGTCGCGATGTTGCTCAGCGCTTCCACTTTTTGGCACATTGCCAGTCACAACAATCAGACGTGTGGCGAGCACAATAATGAGGTGAGCAGAAAGGCAAAAAAAAAAATAAAATAAAATCGTCGAATTTGCGTCACTATTTGACTCTGAGATAGAAGCGGTCAAGCGCGAGCATATCTTCGGTGGCTGCTGCCGTTCCCAACAACAGATGTCTGTTGTCACAATGACATTTTACCCAATTGGCGTTTCCACCGAAGTAGATCGCAAGACCTATGTACATGTATACATTTAAATATATAGGTCCGCATATATATTTTTTTGCTGCGCTTGATTGGCTTTTTTCACGGAAACATTGAAATTTTCAAACTTGAACTCGACGAAATCGTTGTGGTAGGTCGGCTATGTTTTCGTGTCGATCGGATTGAGAATTGCGCTCTTGTAAGTTTTGCGTTGGTGATTGCAAGTGGTTAACATATTTATGTAGATGTTGCGAAACCGAATGAGGTAATCAAAACAAACTGATGTTAAATGGATATGATGTAGAGTAATCGAATTGAGATAAATAGGCGCGCGCATGCAAACATATTGACATCGTGAGGCTGATTAGGTGCTGCTCCCATTGGGAATTGCGCGTTCTGAGATAAATGACTGTCACACAAATTCTTGGCTATGCGGACTAAACGTTCTTTGTTAATGGTTTTCAATGTTGTAGTCAATAAGTGGGATTCTCCTCTAATAAGTTTTTCGTCAGTTACTTCGAAGTTGCCTGGTCATCCCTAGGAGTTTTGGTTATTTCATTGGAAAAATAAAAAAAAATTACAATAAGGTTCTCAGTAGGGAGATCACATAGCAAGAACCTAGCGCAAATGCAAATTAACACTATATTAAATAGATTTTTCATTGTGAACAACGACAGACACTAAGCCTCAGAAAGCCAAAGAAAGATCAAAGATAACCTACGATTTTAGCTGGTAAGATTTCGAATGTCATTGCGCTCATCCATAGTTGTATCTACACATATAGTAAAATTGCAACAGGTCGATGTATGTACATTAAAGATCAAAGGAATTTCAAATATCTGAAACGAAGGCCCCCGTTTGAAAATCCATTTGTATTGTGCCTAAATCAGCGATGGGCAAAGAGAGCTTTTACTCTGAACGCGCCTATACAAAATATATAGAAAGCTTAAAAGAGCTTTGCCCGCCGGCAAGATAGTGCCCATCGCCAGCCCAAATCATAAAAAATATTTTCCTCTCCCGACGCCTTTCAGTTACAATTTCATTTTCTCTCTTGGAGCCAGCAGTATAGAAAGTATTTTCCGAGCTCCTGAGAGGAGCTTCTTATTATCTTCACTGTTTTCTAATAGGCGCGCTAATGACATAATTTCTTTAAAAAAAGGTATCCAAGGATCAGTTTTTCATTTGTGGCCTAGTTGAAGCGTTACGTTCCTTCGACAAGTACCCAAACTGGACTCAGAACTCAAGTCTATTTACAAACTCTTCAAAGGGAGCACTGAAGTTTGTTTCGCGTTACCTTCGATGTAGTCTCCATATCCTGTAATGAAACCATAAGCAAAGGACTATTTTGGGGTATGGAAAAATACTAAAGTTTAGACATCTGCCTAAAGCAATTATACTCTACTTTGGGGGGCCTCCCGCGACATTGTGTGACTCCTAGTCTAAGCACCAAATTCTTCACTGCAATTCGGATCATCATTTCTATCTGCTGTGAGAGTGATAGAACAACATAAAAGTCTTTCTTAATCTTTTTACTTTCTGGCATGAGTAGTTTTTTTTTTACTGCTGCGGTGTTAGCCTGACTAAGATATCAAAGTAGCATTATGTAGTAGCTTTATGAACTAAATGATGTTGGCAACAGCAAAATGAAATTACTTTTCGCATCAAGAGCAAAACACCTCATTGAGGTGCTCCTGCTTAACTTACCTGGCATGGCCGATCCGCACAACTCCGCCTCTTACGTCCGGTATTTGAAGAATTTACCAAGCTAGCTTCGTAAGGCAGAGAATAGGTCGATAGAACATAGTCGCTCCGAAAAGGTTACTGAAAATAGAGATTTCGATTATTTTGTGGGACAGAAATACTGTGAATTAACACTAATAGTGTGTTCACTCCCCATTTACTCGCCAACATAAATGCTTATAATAAGTACACCACAGTAAGTTAGTCAGTGCCAGGCTTGCAACCATTGAGAAAAGAAGAATAATTAAGACAATAAATGGCTGAGCCACTTGCTATCCCAAATGAAATTTAGAATATCCCAGATCTCCACCGTTTATATTACCAACAGACTAGTGAGGAGCATGAATCCACGATTTGGAGTCGACCTGGGCCTGCACTAGATACCGACATAGGGCATAGAAAAATCGTAAATATACAAGTAGGCACCAGTCTAATAAAAAGACAGTACCAGAGTTCACTCTTTAACACAAAACACTGTGTGCGTTTGAGCGAAAGCGGGGAAATGTGAAATATTCGACAGTTTTTTTTACAACAAACATATGTAACGTTACGCACTTTTAGTATCGTACAAACGCACAGCTGAAACCCTGACTGAAATGCAAAGAGCGAGGAAAATGTGCTTTGCTGTACTGTTCGTACATCATTTCGGCAGTTAAAGCGAAAGCACAAACGAAACGCGGTTAATAAATTCAAGGAACTGAATTACAAAATTTTAGTTTTTTTTTAGTCTGGAATTATGCCAGTGTTGAGTTGGCATCCCTGTCTAGTAGTGTCTTTTAATGTAGCCTTGTTGACAATTTTACGCAGCCCTGTTGACTTTCAGAGGATCTTCCGCCTTCTTTCTTCTCTAATTTTTAACCTAGATTAAAAGCCCTGAGGTTATTTTATCATCTCGTAAGTTATTCCTCCATTTACTGGACTGTATGGAGTAGAAGAGTAGTCTACTTCGTTTGTTGACATCTCTGAGCCAAAACTTGACATTTAATTAGCTGCCCCGTTTCTGTGTTTCACTTAAAAAGTCACCACAAAGAACTTATTTTAGACCCCGTAAAAGAGAAGCCATGACCACTGCAACCAAATCATCTCTAGTACGTACATATATATGTTTGTGGGTATACATAAGTACAATATTTGCGTAAATATATATAAAACGAATGCCTAATTCTTCTAGTTGTGGTACCACCTTGGCCCAAAACTGTTGTCTGGTATAATAAAAATGGACGCATTGAGTCAAGTGAGCGCTATAAATTAATCGAAGATGGCTTGGGCGTTTATATGATCGAAGTCAAACCCTCCGAGAGTTGTGACGAAGGCGAATGGAAATGCGTAGTTACTAGCTATGAAGGTTGCGTCGGTATTTCAACGTGTAACGTCACTATGGACAGTGAGTAGATATTTGCTTAGACAAAATTTTGCAGCGTTAACTATTTAATCCTCTAATTTCTTTTCCTATAGTTCCCAAAAATTATCGCAAGCCACGTTTCATGGAAAGTCTACGCGCTGTGCTCACCGAAGAAGGACTCGTCTCATTCGAATGCAAAGTGGTTGGTTTTCCTACACCCTTACTTAAGTGGTTCAAGGATGGTCAGGAACTAAAACCCGGCGATGTTTATCAATTAACTGGCACCAACTCGCTTGGCACATACTGTTGCATAGCCAAGAACTGCATGGGTGAGAGTAGCAGCGTTGCTGTGCTCACTGTAGAGGATATAAAAAATCAGCTTAACGACGAAGAGCGTCTCACATTTGCTAATCAGAATCAGCCACCTAAATTTGTGGTGGGCCTTAAAAGTCAAGAGGCCAAGATCAACGAATTTTTCCAATTTACTGTAAATGTCAATGCCACACCAGATCCAATGCTCTCCTGGTTTCGCGATGAGTTCCCGATCGAGAACAGTGAACGTTACTCTCACTATCGTGGCGAGCAAGATAATTGGCATTTGGATATACGCGCTGTGGAATTCGTAGATCAGGCCGAGTGGAAGTGTGTGGCTGTGAATGACTTTGGCACAAGCGTTACTTCCAGTTATCTAAAGTTGCAGATACCACGGCACTACAAGAAACCACGTTTCCTGGAATGCCTGAGAGCGGTGTTGACGGAAGAGGGCGCGGTAAATTTGGAGTGCAAAGTTATTGGGGTGCCACAGCCCGTGCTGAAGTGGTACAAGGATGGTGTTGAGTTAAAGCCAGGTGACATACATAGAATCATCTCAGGACAGGATGGTACTTGCTGCCTGGGCACCTACACATGTGAGGCTAGAAATTGTATGGGCGTTGTCGCTAGCTCAGCTTCGCTACTCGGTTTCGAGGAGGCGTACAAAAATCAAAAGCACGAACAGGCACAAGAAAACGAATTGCAGCGCAATTTCTCCTTGTCCACCATACAGGAGGAGCGTACATCCCAGTTGTACGAGACACCTGTTGGCGATATAACGATTGACTCAAAGGGAGAGGTATCTTTCTCTTTCGATGGCAAAGAGGTTTCTGTATCCTTGTATGAGACACCCGATTTGACCGAAGAAGAAGCATTGAAGATCGTCGAAATGTACGCCGATCAGATTTCAGAGCATGTGACCGAACACAATGTGGTGGAATTGCCGCCACTGCGTTTTGTTAAAGAGACCTCACAGTCGGGTAAACTGCTAATGGAAGCTGTGGTAATTGACATCTCGCCAGAGTACTTTTCACATGAGGAGGACATGCGTACCGAGGCAGGTTTGGATGATATTTCCATCAACGAGATAACAGTGCATGGCTCCTCGGGTCATGAGGGTGACACCGATCGCGAAGCTGAGAACTATGCGCAACGCAGCTTTGAGAAAATGGAGGAAGACTTGTCATTGACGGCACCGATACGCAAGCGTAAAAAATCACGACCGACCGAAACCACTGAGGAATTTTACAGTTTATCGAAAGCATCTGATAGCCAAGCGGGCGATGAGGAGGATACTTCCGATTTACAAACATTCGCTAGCGCTACGCAAATGTCATCGCGCATCGATTCTGCTGCAGGCCCTGATGCTGCACAGCCCGCAGAAGGTATGCAACCACCGAAGCGCAAGAAGGCCAAAGGCAAGGCAACTGATAGTGATTCATCAAAAACAACCGAAGACGATACGAAAATGCAAGATATATCTGGTGCAGTGGGCGATGGTTTGATGTCTGTGAAGCCAGTAAAAGTGATCTCCAGCGCAACGGAGATTGAGCAGAATTTGAGGACACTGCTGCCACTAGCGAAATCGCTGAAGACTATTGAGCACCACCTGACTATCGTGGAAAATGAAGTGGTCGAGCAGGCAGCCATGATGATGACGTCAGGGTCTGCAGAACAGAGCATCGCCATCATACGCAATATCATCGACCCGGTGAAGCAGGTGGAGTGCAAATTGCGCGCCTATTCCGGGGAGACACCACTCGACGCGCTCTTCCAAACGATGGAGGAGGATATACGAAAGCTGCACACCAGCCTACAGGTCATTGAGAAGTGTGTCGAAATAGATGAAACTGGCGTGACGCTTATACAACGCACCAGTGTCTGCATTATAGACAGTGTGGGCGATCAGCTGATAAAGGCATTGCAAGAGGTGCAGAACATTGCAAAGACTTTCGAGTCTACGAGCTTGCGTGCACATATAGATCTCACCGCAGACGATATTAGGCAAGGTCTCGAAATCACACAGGGCACTATAAAGTCACAGGCGCTGCTGCAAGAAGCGCAGGAGTTGGAGGCGGCCAAGCATCTCTCGGAAACGGTTGCCAAGCTACAGGCTAGACCAGAGGGAGAACCGGCGTCCTTTGCTAATATCTCGGATGCTAAATTGCCTGACGAAGCTGATGCACTGAAGCTCATTTGTCAGCCGGTTGTGAATATACAAGCCGCCTTAGAGCAGGTGGAGAATGAATTGAGTCTCGAAGAAAACGAAGAACAGATCTACAAGAAGGTGCACAAGAAAGTGTTGGAAAATATTGTCGAACCAATTAAGGAACTGCAATCGGTGTTGGAGATAATCGAACGAAAGGCGGAGGCACTCGCTGGCACCGAATCGACAGAGCAAAAAGTTAATATGGCCATTCTGGACATTGTCACACCGGCTCTATTTGAACTCAACAAGGGTATGGAAATAATATTGAATGAGTCGTCGGACAATGTTCAAGCAGGCATGTTGACTGTTAGCACTGTGGAGTCGATGGTACCGCCATTGCAAGAGATACAGAACGGGCTGGCGCAGCTCACACAGGACGTGGAAAGTGGACACTTTACGGAAGAGGCCGTGCTCGACTCGGCGGATACGCAAAAGTTGCTGCAATCTATAGCGCAGTCTGTGCTTCACTTCGAGACGAATATCGAGCGCATATCAGCGCGTTTATCACCCAATGTGCAATCGGGCTTGTTCAATATCAAGGAGGAAATGTCTGCCTTAATTGGAAATGTGTTGAATGAGAACATCACCAAGTATCATGTGACGCTGTTGGAGAACTTGAAACGGCCTATCGATGAGCTCAACTATTGCATACGACAAATTGAAGGCAAATCTATATCGGGCTCTTTAACTGACTTTATCGATCCCTTGCATAGTCTCAGCGATCGCGTGCATTTGGGTCAGGAGATCATGCACATGTCTGGTGCGAAGCAAAACGAAAGAAATCTTGAGGTCCTCGATAGAATGGAACAACTAATTAGGCGCGTTGAGATCGATATTGAAGAACATGAATTCAAGGTGCTGCAACGCGAAGTCGAACTTGATGAGAAGCGTGCAAACGAAGAGGAGAAATCTTTCCTTTACATGCGGCAAGCAATGGAAATGAAGATAGCTCAAGATGAGGCTGGACAATATATACAAGAACTACTGCACACAGTTACAGAGATAGAGGCCACACCTGACTTGGATGCTCAAACCCAAAAAGTGTTATCAGTGCTAGACCAAAGTCTTACCGGCCTTGTCGCCGATGTAGAAAAACTGAAGGAGTCACCGAGCACGAGGGAAGAAAACGAAGCTGCTACAAAAGTGCTAACCGACATTGCCAAGCCACTGCAGGCAGCTGCTGAGGTTTTACGCAGGGCGCTAACGCCAGCAAAAGAACTGAAGGTAGAGCAGCTCCCACAAAGCGTGAGTCTGCAAGCAGTTTTGCAAGAGTTGAATGAGGTCGTGGAAAATATACCCGAGCAAAATGAGCAGAACGTAAAATTGAAGGCGTTGCCCATCGTACAATCGGTGCTAAAAATAGTGCCCGCGCTACAAACAATCACAGATTTACCACAAGCGTCAACAGCGGTAACGCACGCTGAGAAAAAGAAGGCAGCGGCAGATGTTGATAGTGGAGCTGCAAAGAAGCCGAAAATGGCAGCTGAAGTCAGCGATGAGGTAGAAACAGCACCAATACCCGACGCGCCTACTACGGTTAAGGTTGAAGAAAATGTCGAGACCCCATTAGCTGCGGAAGCTCAACATACTGCAGAACTCCGACAAGTAGCGAGCTCTACTGACGCTAGCAGGCCAGCGACGAAAGCCGCGGATGACGCTTCCACACTGGAGGACATATCCGCCATGAAATCAGCAGCTGAGTCATTACCAGCAGATAGTTTGGCCTCTGGACCAGAAGATAAAACGGATCATCTCAAAGCTTTCGAAGCTAACAAGAACAAAGTGAACGCGCTGCTGTCGCAACTGAAGAATAGCATCGCAACAGTATTGGCGCATTGCGACGAAGTAGATGTAGGCTCGCTGCAAGTGGAAACTGCGCAACAAGTGAAGGCAAGTCTCTCGAAGCTGGCAGGCGTCACTGAATGCATTGCTGATGTGCATCAACCAATCGTTGTGGAGACACTGGGTTCACTCTCCGACGCCAGCGAGTGTAGAACGTTCGCTGAAGCTGTGTGCCATTTGGAAGCTTGTGTGGTGCAAGTCGAGGAGTGCATGGCACAAGCCGATTTGAAGGAGCTGAGTGGTGGCGGCTCCATTTCCGAATTGAAAACACTAGCTCTACCCTTACAAGACCTTAAGGAGTGCATTAAAGTCTTTCACAATGAAGAATTGGAGCAGGTTATGAGTTTGGCAACAGCAAGCTTACCGCTAACTAGCGCACAAGTTTTACAAGACATACAGCCCTTTGTGCTCTCAATTAAGGAGAGTCAAGCAATCGAAACTTTGCAGTCCTTAGCGGCGGATGAGTCTCTAGCGCAGCTCAAACAATTTATAAAACCCATACAAGAGCTGCAAACTGCCGTGCTGTCTACCGCTGAGCAGGTGCATTTGTCGCAAATTGAAAGTTTGCCCCAGCAGGCGAGCATTGCGGTGTTGGAAAAGTGTGCCAAGCCTATACAGGACATCAGGGAAGCGCTACTGCAAGTGCAAGATGAAACGCCACTGTCCACCCTAGAAGCTACTCCGGCATTGCAAGTTTTGAAGGAAAAAAGTGAAGTTGTATACAATCTCCTGCAATACTGTGAAAAAGTGGACCTGCATGTATTGGAGAATCTTGCCGATATGTCTACACAAGCTGATGTCTCTGCACTCAAATCTTGCGCCGAGCTCAAGTCTTTGGAGACACAACTCGAACCTGCCGTTAGCGCGAAACAAGCAACAGTGAAGTACTTGGACGTCAAGGAATGCATTGCGGATGGCATCAAACAAATACAAGTCTGCTTGACATCAGCCGAAAAAAACGGTGGTGCCCGAGTTGCACGATGTTGGAGAGGTCATGAAAGAGCTTAAACGTGAATTAGAGCACATGCAAAGTGAGTTGTCTGAACCAACAGCGCAGCAAAATGCGGCCAAAGCCAATCGTAGCGTAGCTAAAACGATGTTCAAATTGAAAGAGTGTCTGGTGCATACCTACGAAGCTGGCGTTGAAAAGTCGCTGGATGAAATCGAGAAAACTTTCGAAGACATACTAACAGCGCTGCCGACTTTAGAAATACAGCTGGCACAAGAGATGTACGCAAAAATCGAGGCATCGCTACACGCATTTAACACCACTTGCGCACAACCAGAGGCGCCTGAGCTGGAAAAACTAATAGAACCCATTGGAGACATTTTGAGCAGCACCAAAGCAATTAATGAGTTGAAGAGCATAGATGTTGAAAAGTCTTCATTGGTGGTGGCGCAATTACAATCGCATTTAATGGCCGCATTTAGAGCGCTCAACGAAGTTAGTGAATCGCTTAGTGGAGCTGTGCGTGAAGCAGTTTTGAAAGCGCAAGATGCTGTGCTAGCAACAAACGAATTCATTGCGGAAGCCAGCGAACAAATTAGAACTATTGAGCTGCTACAGGAGGTAGATAGCTTGACGCCCAGTTTGGCTGCTATTCCCGGAAGTTTTACGTCCGCAAGCGAGCAGGAACGGAAGCAAGCACTACTCGAAACGCTTATGCAGCGTGTTACGCAAGGGAAAGCATTTTTACAAAGCATTGAAGATGGCTTAAACGCAAACAATCCGGTATTCTATAGGCTAGCAGAGCAAAACGAGCTAGACATAAGTAGCGTAGAAGCAGCGCTCATACGCATCGAAAAGGAAATCATACCAAAACTGGAAACGCAGGTACCAGCGGCTGATGACAGCGCGCTAGTCGATGTGCTGGGAGTGCATTTGAAATCTTTGCAGGACAGTCTCGCCAAACTCAATACTGCAGCGATTGTGGTGGAAAAAGTACGCGTGGATGTAGAAACAAGGTCGATTGAGCAGCAAGAGCCGGAGCCGGGGCTCGTTGCGCAAAAATCCCTAACCTCAACCACACCGCAGCAGACTTCAGCGAAGAAGGAGTCATCACAGTTACGCGAAACTTCGCTACCCGCTGAGGAAGACATATCTACGCTAGAGGAAATTTCAGCTATCGAGTCTTACTTGGGCTCACCACCACCTATTTCCCGTGCCGAAGAAGCGCCGCCTACACCGCCAGCTGACAAAGGTAAGGTCGATGTGTTGTTGTCACAACTCAAAAGTAGCATCGTCTCAGTGTTGGCACATGGTCACGAAGTAGATGTCGCCTCTCTGCAGCTGGAGACTGCACAACAGATTAAGGCAAGTTTAACAAAATTACAGAACGTAAATGAATGTTTTGCCGATGTCCGTCAACCCACTGTCATTGAGCCACCACTCCTATCCCTCTCCGATGCTAGTGAATGCAAAACATTTGCTGATGCTGTGTGTAATTTGGAAGCATGCGTAGTGCAAGTTGAAGAATGTTTGGCCCAAAGTGAGTTGCAAGATCTGAGTGCGCAAGCGATTTCCGAACTGAAAACTTTGGCACAACCACTGCATGAAGTTAAGGAATGCGTAAGAGTTTTCCGCAATGAAGAATTGGAGCATGTGCTTAGTTTGCCAACAATAAGCATGCAACTAACCAGTGCTCAAGTTTTGCAGGACATTCAACCGTTTGTGCTGTCGATCAAGGAGAATCACGCATTGGAGACGCTGCAGTCGCTGGCGGAGAACGCATTACTCGCGCAGCTCAAGCAATTCATACAACCCATACAAGAACTGGAAAGCGCCATACTATCCAACGTTGAGCAGGTGCACTTGTCACAAGCTGAAAATATTTCTAGGCAGGAGAGCACCGCTATATTGGAAAAGTGCGCTAAACCTATCTGGGATATCAGAGAAGCTTTGCTGCAAGTACAAGAAGAAACACCACTCTCCACGCTAGAAGATTGTCCCGCACTGAAGGTGGTGAAGGAGCAGACCGATGTCATATACCACCTGCTGCAATACTGCGAGCAAGTCGACATGAATGCTTTGGAAAACATTGTCGAAATGTCAACACAAGCCGATGTTTCGGCGCTGAAGTCCTGCGTGGAGCTGAAATCCGTACACACGCAACTTGAGCCACCAGCCACAGGTGTGGTTGAAAGCGTTAAGCTGCAGGATGTGCGAGAAAGTATTTCGAATGGCATTAATCAGCTACAAACGTGCTTGGAAAAGAGCACAGCAAACAATGTCCCAGAACTGTGTGAAGTTGAGGTTGCTATGCAGGAGTTGCAGCACGAGCTACAAAGTATGCAAAACGAGCTTACGAAACCCGCCGCAGAACAACAAGCTGCCGAGTCGCAAACAAGGGTGGCCAAAGTAATGTTTAAATTGAAAGAATGCATCGTTCACACTTACGAAGCGGGCGTGGAAGAATCACTAGACGATATTGAAAGAACCTTTGCCGACATCCTACAGGCCATGCCAACGCTAGAGCTGCAATTAGCGCAGGAGATGTGTGGCAAATTAGAATCGGCTGCATCAGAGTTTGTCACTAGTTGCACACAGTCAGACGATTTGGCAGACTTCCGTAAGTTAACACAGCCGCTTGAGCTGGTCTTAGCTAGCACTAAAGCCATCGGTGAGCTCAAGTTGGTCGAGGTGCAGAAGTCCTCATTGGCTGTGGCTAATCTACAGTCGCATTTAATGGCCATCTTTAGAGCGCTTGATGAGATTGGTGAGTCAGCAGCGGCGAATGAACGAACAAATTTTTCACAGTTACAAAATGCCGTCCTATCCATTTCCGAGTTCATTGACACCAGCGAAAACACGTTGCGCGCTATTGAACTGATACAAGAGTTGGATACGCTCATGACACAACTAAGCTTCGTGGCCAATGAAGTACGACTTGCTAAGGCAAACGAAAGCAAGCGGGCGTATTTGGAAGCAATAAATTCGGGCGTAGCCTCAGCGAAGGCCTTCTTACTCAGCATCGATGAGGGGTTGAAGATAAATAATTATGTCTTCGTGAAGTTAGCTGCAGAAAACGAGGTAGACATTGAAAGCGTACAAGCCGCATTGATACGCCTGGAAAATGAGATACTGGAAAAGGTACGAACTGCAAGCTCCACAACAGAGGAAGAGGAAGCCGTAGTCGATGCGCTGCGTGTGCATTTGAAAAATTTGCAAGACAAGTTCTTGGCGCTAAACAATGCTGCAGCAAAGGAGAAGCCTAAGGTGGCAGAGCCGGAAGTTGTAGAAGCGAAGATCAATCAGAAGAGCGCTGCTGTTTCAGAAGTTGATGATGGTGCAAAGGAGAGCGAAGCTGTAACAGAAATAAGAGAACAGCCTGCGGATAAGAAGGAGAGCTTAGAGCAGGCTGAGCCAGAAAAAGTGACAGCAATTGAGGTAGTCCAGCCGATAGTTAAGAAGGAAGCTGGGCCAATCGAAGCTGAAGCAATAGCGCCGCAGGCTGTGACTCATGAACAGGCAACGCCAGAAGAAAAGCTTGAGGTGACGGCTGACGAAACAAAGCCACAAGCAGCCATCTCTGCGAAAGACAAGGATACGCAAGAGGCTCCAGAAGCCGTGGTGGAACCGAAAGAGCCGCAAGCACCCACACTGCCAACCGAGCCATATCTCCAAAGAGCAGAAGAATTGATAAATAACACACTCGCACTCACACAGGCGCTGAGTAACCAAGAATTGAGCAAAGCCACAACGGAAGTCTACAAATCGGTTGAACTCACTTTGAAAGAGATTAAAAATTTGCTACAAACACAACCTTCCAACATAATCGAAGATCATATTTTCTTGCCGCTATTCAAGTTGAAGGATTTGATTGCTTTCATCAAGAGAACGCCAATGGATGATGTTTCGAAGGCCGAGGAGGCTCAACAGGTTATACAGAATACCAACGGCGTGCTGCTACAAATCTTGAATGGTCATCGGGGTCTACGAAACGCAATGATTTTCGATATTACCGAAGCCACGCTACCATATATAGGCAGCATAACGTCATTCATAACACAAGTATTTCCGAACGATAGAAATCTGTGTGCGATATCGCGAGCGCTGCAACGAATTTCCACGGAGATGAATGCGCTTAAGAAGGAAAATACATCAAATATGGATAGAGGGTCACGTGCTTATCAAAATCTACAATCAGCTTTGTACGAGTTGAAGAACTCATTGGATACGCTGTGTGCTGAACAGAAAATCGAAATCCTTCTACTACAAAAAGAAAGCTTAGAACGTATTTGCAAAGCTATGGATGAAGGTCAGTTGAGAGATGTTATAGAGCTTATACAGGAGTTTGAGGTGCAGAAGGATTTCTTTGTGCAAATGTTGGAAGCATTGAAGATTATGTCCCAACAACAAGCCGCTGCTGCACGCCAAGAGGACAGCAAAGCTGAAAAGCTCGAGCAAGCTGCCGCCGACGAAGCGCTGAAGCAGCACATCGAAAATGTCTTGAACGTAATTGCTGGCGATGAGCGCTTAAAAGACATCGGCAGTGAGCTTAGTGAGTCGCTCAATGATGATGAAAGGTTCGCAAAACTTGTGTTCAAGTTAAGAGAACACATTGTGCACACTTACGACGGTGGTCCACGCGCAGCAGACGAAAGCGCTGAAAAATTGGAAGACATTATTGAGAACTTACTCGCTAGCAATCCAGAAGCTGCTCGAAAATTGACGGAGGAATACTATGAGTATATCGAAAATAATGTGAAGCAAATATCGGAGAAAATTAAGATCATAGAAAACGCCGAGCTGCGTACAAAGGTGAGCGCCTTAAACCCCCGGCTGAAAGCATTGGCTGCGGTTGTTAAAGACGTAAAAGAACTAAAAATAGCAAAAAAGTTGGCAGACAGGCAGAAGAATCTGAAAAAAGAGCTCTTAAATACTGTCGAGTTTTTGGATGACTTGGCTAAGCCATTGGCTGCAGATTTGCAAGCCAATATTGAAAAACTTAAAAAGCTCGCGCTGAGAGAATACGATTATATAAATAATAGTGAAAAAGCAGCACAAGCACCGAAGATTCTCTTGGATACATATTTCTTAACGAGTGGCTTGACCGACTTGTGCGCTAAATTGCAAAGAGCAGCGTTGGTGACTGCAGAGGCAAAGGAAAGCGAGGTTGTGGTTTTGGAAACTGAAGATGCCCAGCTAAAAGTGGAAGTGAAACCCAAAGTTGAAGTCGTTGAAGAAAAAGAGCAGCTTCAGCAAGACGCGGTTACAGGCAGAGATGTGTCAGTTGAGCCCCAGGTAACTACCGCTGCTACAGAAATCGCCGAGGTGCCAGCATTCGATGAAAAAGAAGTCAGTATGGAAGTTGAAGACGTTCAACGAGCAATAGCCATAGAAGAGCCGAAAACCAAAACAGTTGATGAAAGTAAAAGTGAGGAAAAATTAGTTGCTGAAGCTGACAAAGCACCTACAACTACTGAAGAGCCTCTTAAACCGAATTTATTGAAACATTTTACGGACATAGTCGAGGTAACTGCTAAAATACGAAACGAAGTCGGGGCTACAAAAAATCCAATCTTGCGGGCAAAATTATTACAATTCGATGCACCGCTAGCAACCATAGGAACAATTTCGGAAACTGTAAAACTATCAAACAATATAGACAAGTCTTCAGAGAAAATAGCTACTTTACAAAAAGTACTAATGAACCTCTTTGTAACCTTGGACGACCTACAACAACAGTCGACGGGAGAGCTAACAAAGCACATCGAAGATGTTAAAAAGCTGGCATTGAGTGGATTCGAAACTGTAGAAAAGAGCGCGGCAAGCGCAGACTCAGAGAAAATACTCCTCAGTATTTGTGATTTAACGAAGGGAGTCTTAGAGGTTTGCAAGGAATTGCTAAAGATTGAGGAAGAACAACTTGAGACGACTGAGACGACAGATACACAGACAATATTTGAAGAGCAGGTTCAGGAGACGAAAACTGAACAAGTTGCTGCAGTTAAAGAGGTACAAGAGCAGGTGTTAGCGGAAACACGGCCTCAACTTGAAGACGAGGGTAAAAAAGAAGATCAACCAGCTGAAAAAGTGGCAGATGCGAGAGTTGAAGAGCAGGCTGGCAAAGCTCAACAAGAGACGCCGACTACGGGAAATAATGAGACAAAAGATAAAGAAAAAGCAGCGCCAGAGTCACAAAATATAGAAGAGGAAGTCTCAGTGGAAACGAAACCACAAATCGGAGAACAAAAGAAGACAGAAGAGCTGCCAGAGGAAAAAAATAAAAGAGCAGAAAGCTGAAGCACAAGTGCTAAGCACTGATGAAACAAAAGCAGATGTAAAAGAAGAAAAGCCGAAGACGGAAGAACCGGCAGCTTCAGAGCAAAAACAAGAAGAACTGCAGCCTCAAATAGAAGAACAAATACCCCGGCCTCAGATTGAAGAGCAAATAGTTGAAGATATCGTTGCGAAGGAGGCTACTACCGAGTCGCCAAAACAGGCAGATAACCCAGCAGAGGTAACGATAGAAGAACAATTGATGCCAGAAACCCTGAAAAGTGAAGAGATACCTTCACAAGAACCGGTATCTGTTGCCGAGGAACAAAAGAGAGAGAAAAAAGAAGCGCAACGAGAAGTCGCTGCATCCACAGATAAACAAGCACTTGAAGAGGTGACGAGAGTAGTTGAAAAAGAGAAAACAAATCAAGAACAAGTTGTTGCCAAAGAACAGTTGTCGGAAGAAAAAGCGCAGAGTGAAAGTGAAGAGCAGAAGGAGGCGCAAAATGAACAGCAGGAAGAAAAGAAAATATTATCCCAAGTTGAGACTGAAGAGCAAGCTATTTTAGAAACGAAGACAGAAAAGGTGGAACCACAAGTCGAAGCGAAAAAGTTAGAAGAGGCAGTTGAAAAAGAAAAGACTGTGGAGCAAGTTTCACCACAATCCAAAGCCATTGATACGCTGATAACCAAACCCGAGGCACAGATAGCTACAAAAGAGGAAACAAAGGAACAACCTGAAGAACAAGTCACTCCTGAAACGCAGCCTGTTACTGAAATTCAAGAGAGCAAAGAAGTAAAACCGGAAGTCGAGAAAGCAGAGAAGCAAATAGAAAAACCAAAGAATCCACTGGAAATACCCGAAGTACATGTCGCTCAGGAAACAAAGGCCTCGCCAACAGTTGAAGTTGCCACCTCCAGAGAAGACAAACCCGAAACGACGGCAATAAAAGACAGCAGTGAAGAACCAATTCCGCTGGGTGAAAAGACAATAAAAGCAGTCACAGAAGAGACCAAGACCGAAGTGAAAGAGGAAGCTAAAAAGGTTCAAGAACAGCTTCTGGAAGACATTCTAGAGCCACAGGAGGCAAACGATGAAAATCGCAAACCAGAAATAGAAGACCAAGTTGCTTCAGTGGCGCTGATTGTAGATGTTAAAAAGCCCGAATTACAGCTTAGCGAAGAAAACAAAGGAGCTGAAGAGACTGAGCAAGTCAAACCCGCTGTTACAGAGAAAGTTGGAGAGCAAGGTGTTGCCGAACAACTGAAACCAGAACTGAAGAAAGAGAAACTTGAGGGTGAGATTGACACAGAAAAACAAAAGGCTGAAGAACGCGATGAACTGCGCAAGGCTAAGGAAGAATTAACTCCAAAAGAAAACCCGCACGAGCAAAAAGTCGAAAAATCGACCACAGACAAAAAGGAGATTACAGACCTTCAACCGTCACAGGAATTAAGTACTAAATTAGAGCAATACTTCGCAAGTATCTCGCAGACTGCTGTAAAAGTAACAGCGAAAATTTCAGAAATAAAACCGCAGAGAATTCACGAAAAGTTGGTTGCGCTTCCACCTTTGCTAGAAAAAATTATCCAGGTCTCTGAAAATGTAAAGAATCTACAACGAGTTGAAAAAGCCGCACAGCGAATGGTTACCCTACAGAAAGCATTAATGGATACCTTTGTTATATTTGACGATCTTCACGAAATAGCAACAACTGAAGTGAAGACGCAGCTGGAGAAAGTTAAAGAACTCGCTTTGCATCTGTACGACAACATTGAGAAGTCCGAAAAGTATGTGGAGTCAGAGGGAGTATTGTTAGACTTAGTCCAACTAACGGGTAGTGTTCTGGAAGTGTGCAGCGTACTTCAGAAAGAAGTGTCACACGAAAAGGTTATTGAAGCGAAGCCCATCGAAAAGAAACTTGGAGAGGAAGAAAGGCCAACAGAACAGAAAGTTGAAGAGAAACAAGAGCCAGAGGAGAAAGTTATTGAAAAGACACCTGAAGAAAAGCAAATAACCGAGAAAGATACTCTAGCAAAGGTGCCTGAAGAAATAGTAGTTGCGCAGAAACCAGAAGAGGAGTCTATAAAACAGCAGCACGAGGAACCGAAAGTTCCAACACAAGAAGCTGTTGAGAAACTCGTGGAAACAACCGAAGCAGATAAGCTAATTGAATCACCAACTGAACAGAAGAAGTCACAGGATACTGAGAAAGATAAAGTGTTAGAAGACACAAAGCTTAAAAGGAAGGCAGGCAAGCAAAAATCGGTGGAGGAAAAACTTTCTGAAAAGTCAACTGAGAAGAAACCTGTTGAACAGAAAGTAGAAGAAAAGTCAATAAGACAGACGGATGAAGAAATGAAAAAACCAGACGCGAAAGTACCAGAAACAGAAAAGGCCAATGAAACACCAATCGAGTTAAGAGAAGCAGAGATGTCCAAAGAAACGGCAGCAAATCAAAAGTCGGCAGAGGATAAGCCGCATGAAAAAATGCCTGAAGAGGAAACCGTTGAGAAAAAGTCAGAAGAAAAGTCTAAAGAACAAGAGGAGAAAGTGAAGGGAAAGCCTAAAGAAAAATTGCAAGAAACACTGACCGGGCAGAAACAACCTAATGAGATTGAGATAGAGCAGGCTATAGAACAAGAGAAACCGAAAGAAAAACCTGCTAAACAAAAATCGGTGGAGGATAAAGTTCCAGAAAAGGTACCAGCGGAAAAGCCTGTAGAAAAGAACACTGCAGAGAAAGAATCCGAGGCGCAGTCAAAAGCACAGAGGATTGATGAAAACAAGAAACTAAAAGATAAAGTAACCGAAGAGAAACCTGAAGAAAAGCAAGCTGTCGGCCAAGATACTTTGGACGCGAAAAAGCTAGAAGCAGAAAAAGTAAGCGAAATAGTATTCGAACCAAAGGAAGAAAAGGTCATCGAACCAAAGCCGGTGGAGGTAAAACCACAAGAGGAGCTAGGAGAAAAACCTGTTGAGAAAAAGATACAAGAAAAGAGTACGGAGAAAAAGGATGAAGCGAAAGAGAATTTGAAAGAGAAAGTGGATGAAGCTGCGGTTGAAGAGAAGAGGCAGGTATGTTTGGAAGCGCAAAAGTCAGAGTTAGATAAAGAAACAGAGGTTGAACAAAAGAAATTAGAGGATGAAGGGCATAAAGAGAAACCTGTTGAGAAAAAAGTACAAGAAAAGACAGCCGAGGAGAAGGATGAAGAAAAGAACAAAAAAGAAAAGTTACCCGAACCGAAGGCTCAAGAAGTGCCAGTCGATGAGACCAAGATAGAAAGTGAGCAGAAAAAAGCACAAGAAGAAAAATCGAAGAAGGAAGAAAAAACAGGAGATCAAAAAATCGGAGTGGCCAAGCCAACTGAACAAGATGCAGCGAAAACAAAGCCTGTTGAAGTAGAAAAAATTGAAGACGCAATCGTAAAAGATGATGAAAAGAATCCTAAATTGGAAGAATTTTACAAGAAAATTACTGAGACTCAGAATATTCTGCAAAAAGAAATCGAAGCGGCTAAAGATATTTTATTGAGCCAGAAATTAACTGCTCTCCAACCACAAATTGAGAAGCTTGTTGTAATTACGCAGACTATTAAGAATAACGATTGTGTAGAAAAGGCTTCAAAGGATATTGTGCGTCTTCAAAGGGTGCTGATGGATATCTTCATTACATTTGATGATCTGCATGATGTAAAATTCCATATCTTGAAATCGAAAATCGAAGAGATAAAAACGAGTGCTCTTGCAGAATATGATTACATTGAAAAGGGTAAGAGACAAATAAATTCTGAAGAGTTATTGAAAAGAATGTCCATTTTACTGAAAAAAGTCTTGGACACATGCGTAGAACTTCGAAAAGTATCCGAAAACGTACCGGTCGAAAGCGCCGAACCGGATTCCGACAAAGATAACACTGCCAAAGCAGCGACTGCAGAAAAAGTGGAAACGGTTGAGAAGAAAGCCAAGGTTGAACCCACCGAAGAGCCGTTGAATCAAAGTTTGCCACTATATTATAACCAAATAGTTGAATCTGTGTCTAAAACGTCCGTCAAGCTTTCCGAAATGGACGATAATGAATTCCGCGTGAAGTTGATGCCATTGCACTCGACGCTTCAAGGCGTTCTTTCAAGCGCTGAACATCTGAAGGGCGTGAACAAGATCGAGAAGTCTAAAGAGAAGGTGGTAACATTGCAGAAGAGTCTCATGGACATCTACGTTCTCTATGATGATCTTCAGGCTATAAATGCCCAGGAATTGAAAGGAGATTTAGAGCAAGTGAAGACTTTAGCGCTGAAACATTACGATCTCATTGATAAGAGTTTTAGAGAAGTTAATTCGCAAGAGATCTTAGTGGAGTTAGTAAAACTTTGTCAAGAGATTCATAGAGTTTCTGAAAATATATGTCAATATGTGAAGAGATCTAAGGAAGAAGAAACACTTAAGAAGGCCAAGGAGTCTGCCGAAGCAGCGGATGCCGAAAAGAAGTTGGATAAGAAAAAGGAGAAAGTGGAAGATGAAAAGAAAGCAGACGATTCGGCCGAAAAGTCAGATAAGAAAGTGGCGCAAGAGAAGGTAATTGAAGAAGCAAAGAAGGTCGAAGAGAAGCCTAAGAGCAAGGATAAGAAAAATACTACTGAAAAAGAAATTAGAAAGGAAGAGATGCTTAAAGAGGCTGTAGATGCTAAGAAGCAATCCGACCTAACTGAAAAGACGACTGAAGCACCCGAAAAGGCTGAACAACAGACTGCAATAGACATTATCCAGAAGAAAATTGAAGAGGAAAATAAATTGGAGAAAGTAGGTGATGAACCTGCCACTAAAGTTGATAAGGAAGAAGAAAAACCGAAGAAAGTCGAAAGAAAGAAGAGTCCAAGAGAAGTACGTGCTGAAAAGAGAGAAGAACTTACGCGGATTGAAAAGGAAGCAATAGAGGCTATTGTACCGACAATGCAGGAGTCAACTGACAAACCTCGACTGACTGAAGAGAAAGTAAAAGTGGAAAATCAAAAAATTAGTGCTGAAGAGGACGAGAAAAAGAAGAAAATGGAGGAGACATCAGTCGAAACGACGCCAAAGAAGGAAGCTGAAGAGGACAAAATCAGGGAAGCTGCAGTAAAGGTAGAGGAACATAAGAAAGATGAAAGTAAAAAGAGCACGGAAGAAGTTAAGGCAGCTGATAAGAAACAGCCGGGAGAGGTCAGTGAACCGGAGGTAACAGAAACCCTGCCTAAGAAATCTGCTGAGAAACCTGATGATAAACCCGCTGAGAAACTTACCGAAGAACTTAATGAGGCTGATAAAAAACCAAAGAAGACAGCGAGAAAGAAGAGCGAAGAAGAGATAAAGAAAATACAAGAGAAACCAACTAGTCCAAAGCAAGTTGGTGAGAAGAAAGATTTAGAAACACTCGAGGAAGTTGAAAAGCCTAAAAAAGATATCGAGCTGCCCGAAGAAAAGCCGAAAATAGACGTAAAAGAGAAAAGAGTTGAGGCAGAAAAGAAGGCAGATGAGAAAAAACCGGAAGAATCTAAAAATAATAAAAATAAGTTGGAGCCTACTGCTACTGAAGAATCTGAGAAAGCTGTTGATAAGCCGAAAGACGTCAAAGTGGAGAAAGGGGCTGAAGAAGACAAGACGGCCGAGCAGGAGAAATCTGAAAAGCTTGAGGTTTTCGAAAAGAAAGCTGAAAAACTTGCTGAAAAGCCTGCGGAAGAAGCTGATAAGGCTCAAGAAAAGCCCATAAATGAAAAGAGGAAGATGAGTGCTGAGGAAGTGAAAAAAGGCGAGGAAGAGAAGCCTGCAACTCTTGAAGCTGTCAAAAAGAAGCCTGAAACCGTTGAAAAATCTGAAGAAAAACTTGCTAAAAAACCTGGTGAAGAAGCTGATAAGACTCTAGAAAAGCACAAAAAGGAAGA